CAGCCCCCAAGGGCTGCTGAGCTGCCAGAGGGATGTCTGATTGCCAGCTTAGGCCCAATCCCCGAGGGAGCAGGCCTAAACCAGCAAGTGGTCACCCCCTAGGGGTCCCAAAATGCGAAAGGGCATAGGCCTGGCTGAGGGACCCCCTACCCCTGAGTGCAAAAATTTTTGTGCACCAGCCTCTAGTCCTATATAATAAAAGCCTAATATGCAAACCAACTGAACGGCAGAATGACCAGGGGAATGACTAGTTGCTATGACACACACTGACCACCAGGGGGCAGATGCTTAATGCAGGAGTTGCCCCCAGCCTGCAAGGCCCCAGACCAGCCAAGGTGGGTGCCAGCAGGGTCCCTCCACCCGGTCGAACTGCTGGTCACTCCACAGATCAGCCCTGATCGCCAGCCAGACCTACAGACCCTACCCATTCACGAATTTCATACACCGGGCCTCTAGTTTAACAATAATTGTTAAAAATATTCTTTTTATTTATTGTCTAAAGTTTTACTAGTACATATTCTCCATTTTCCCTGATTGACCTCCCCAAGGTTAAAGATATTTTTAAAAGGATACTGTATATTCACCTATAATGTAAATACAATGTAACCCCCCAAAACAAACCCAAATATGACACTAGCACATATACCTAGATTAGCATCAAAACAATATACTGTATAAAGTATAAAATACTAGAAAATTGATGCAATTCAAAACAAATGCTCATATCACTGGCTGCTGAAAAGATATTTTATTATTTACTAATTAAGGATTTATATAACATTTAGCATATGCATGACATACAAAGACTTTATGATTGACAGGTAATTTAATGCTCAAAATAATCTTGCAAAGTATTTATTATTATTATTTGAAAATTTCACAAAACAATTGCAAAAAGAAAGGTTAAGTACTTTATCCAGCATTACATAGATAAGAAATTGTGGAGATGGGTTTCAAACCCAGGCATTCTATCTTCAAAGTCTGAACTCTTGACCACTATAATATTCTTCCTTTTAAAAAGTTACGTTTCAATTCCTAATAAAAATCTCAGTTGGGAGTCAGCAAATAATGGTCAGTGGGACAAATCTTCTTGCCTTGTGTTTTTAAATAAAGTTTTATTAGCAGACAAATATGTCCATTCATTCATATATTGTCCATGACTACTTTCATGCCACAAGGGTAGAATTGAGTAGCTGTGGCAATAGCCATATGTCTTACAAAACCTTAAATATTGTCTCCATGGCCCTCTACAGAAAAAAGGTATCTTGATTCTTGCTTTAGGCAAAGTAGGAACAGGAAAATTACATGAAAAACAATAGAAATGTCATTTTAAATTATGAAATATTTTTAAAGTAATATTTTTCTAAATTATGGAATCATCTGTGAAATCATCAACTTGGTAGGTATTCTCACTATTGTCATCATCATTATAATTTTGCAGTATAAGTAGGCTGGAAAAA